AGAGCTGAAGGCTCCCAGTGGTAATCGAGTGCCTGTGAGGCTGAGCTCATGAACTCCTGGGGCTGCACTCCCAGCCCGAAAGCTTCCCCGCTACCCCAGTGACATTCAGCCCCTTTTGTTTTCAGTGCCAGAACCCAGGGCCTCCTGCATGCTAAGCAAGCACTCGCCTACCGAGCCACACTTCCAGCCCTCTTCATGCATTCAATGACAAGGTCTCCCTGAGCTGTCCATGCAGGCCTTGAACCTGCAGTCCTCCTGCCTCAGCCTCCTGAGTAGCTTGGGTTACAGGCATGATCTGTCACACCTGGCTGTCACCAGCTCTTCACCTGGCTTGCAAGACCTGGCCTGACCTGGTCCCACTGCCGTTCAGCAGGGCCAGGGTCTTATGCCCCAGAATCAGCAGGTTCCGAGATGACCCCAGGACACTGCCCACTCGGCTCTACCTGCCCATCCACGGAGATGGGCTTTTCCCAGCCTGACCTGCTGTGCCCCCCAGCAGGGAGGGAAGCTTGTGACCCCAAACCCTGCTCTCTCCAACCTCATCTTTAACTTACTGTCCAGAAGTATGGTAGTGCAACCTGTAAGCCCAGCCTGCAGGAGGCTGAGGCAGGAGGGTCACCACAAGCTCAAAGTAAGCCTTCCCTTCATAGTGAGTTCAGGGCCACCCTGCCTATATAGTGATACCCTGCCTCAAAAAATCAAAAAAGGAGTAGGCAGAGGAGGATTGGCTGTAGTCACCTGGGACAACGTAGCCCAAGCTAATCATGTGGTGCCCCAGCCACCAGCAGGCCCTTCCCAAGCCGGAGAGATGAGGGCCTGGGTGGGTGACCAGCTCAGCTCTGCTGCTGTGAAGCTGTGCGTCCTCAGGGCCAGCCACGCCACTCCGGGCACACCTCACTTCGTGTTCCAGGAACACTGTGTGCTGTTGAACTGGTCCCCTGCCTCAGGCTCCCTGCAGCCTTGACCTCTGCATGGTAAATTCTCCAACCATTCCATCCAGTTCTTCCTCCCAAAGAAGCGCTTTCCTCTGCGGCCCTGAGCCCAGGGACGGCCCCTGCCCAGCTGGCGGTCCAGGGCGACCTCTGGTGGCTGTTTGTGGGTATCACATGTATCACGGAGCCTGCGCTGGCTGGGCACTGGGAGCATTAGGATTGCAGGGACTGGGAGGCCTGGCTGGAGGGCGCGCCCCGCCCTTTGAGGCCCAGTGGGCCACAGGCGGCATCTTTGGGTTCTTCAGGCCCAAATGAAAAAAGATGTGGTGGCTTCAAATTAGTCAGACCCAACTTCTTTCTGCTTTCCGTTTGCAGACATTTTATTGAGCGCCTAGTGCATACCCTGCTCCATAGGTACTGAGGCAGCCAAGTGCTGTAGGCCAGCCGGGCCCGGCACCCCTTTCCCACACGGGGCCCACTCCACGTGCTCTTGCCCCTGAGCGAGCAGGGAACTGAGGACAGTACCAGGCACACATCTCCCTCCGCCCACACTCTACCCCTTCTTACTCAGGGCTCCCTCCTGCGCCCCAAATCCCATATGCTGGCGCCTCCCTCAGGGGCCCAGGAAACTCGGCCCGGACAGGTGGCACTTGGTAACTCAGGTCCAAGCAGGGCCACCCAGCATCTCCTCTCCAGGCTCCCGCTGACTCGCTTGCAGGAAAGTTTTGCACAATTTTCCTGGAAGCACGGCTGCCCTGAGCTGCCCGGAGCCACCCGGAGTGGCTGGGTACAGGAAGGCCACTCTAAGCTGAGGGGATCCTACAGGGCCGCCTCTTGATCCCCAACCCCAGATCTCTTGAAAACCAAGAGACACCCTGGACCTTTATCCTGCAACTGACTTTCAGAAAGAGACCAGAAAAACCACAAATCTGCACTGGGGGTGGTGGCGCATGCTTGTAATCCCAGCACTCAGGAGGCTGAGGCAGGAGGGTTACTGTGAATTTGAGGCCAGCCTGGGCTACATAGTGAGAGCCTGTCTCAAAGAACAAAAAACACAACAAAAACACCCACTACAAACCTGCAACCCCTACACACACACTCCCAGGAATGCCCCCCTTTACAACTGCCCTTGTCTGTGAGCACCTCTGCTGGGACAGGGTGAGGAACTAAAGCCCAGAGAGGTTAAGTGTCCTGCCCAGGGTCACACAGCCAATGGGGGTTCTCAGAGCAGTGAATCAGAGCAGACTGAAAGCACAGTATTGTTTTTGCTTTTGTTTTGAACCCCAGGCCTGCACACTGAGCTACATCCCCAGCCCTTTTAAAATTTTTTCTTTTAATGTAATACATGTAAATATTAATGAAAAAGTATTTAAAAAGCACTTTTTTCTATGAAAAATATAACAAAGTAGAGAATAACAAGTTAATATATAGTGTACTATAATCTTTTTTTCCCCCTTTTTTTTTGGTACCAAGAATTAAACTCATGACCTTGCGCTTGCCAGGCAGGTGCTATGTGATTGAACTATATCCTGGACTGTGTACCATAATCTTTTTTATTTTTTGGTACCAAGGATCAAACTCATGACCTCATGCTTACCAGGCAGGCACTTGAGCTGCTGAGTTAAACTCTCAGCCCCTGTGTACCACAATGGCCAAAATATTTCTCAGAGTACAAGTCATAGATGGGAAAATCTTCTTTATCTTTTTGAGACAAGGTTTCAGTAAGCCACTAAATTGTCTGGGTTGGGCTCGAACTTGCAATCTGCCTGCCTCAGCCTTCCAGACTGCTAGGATCATAGACCTGTACCACCACACCCAGCCAAAGCGCAGGGTTCTTGAGAATCCCCGGGCTGTTTTTCCTGGGCCATCTTCCCATAGAGCAGCCTGCCTGCGGCCTGTCCTCTGGATGGGTGAGGCGGGGATCCATTTGCATGCAAGACCCCATGCAACACCCTCATTTTGTCCTTCCCAAAGTCCCTCAAGACAGACGTCTTCTCCAGGGTTCCCTGACTGGCCCAAGGGCCCTGGTTGGGGACCTCTGCCTGACTCCCCAGGGGCAGGGAGGAAAGCAATGATGGCAGGCACTGCAACGTCCCTCCTGGGCATCGGCAGGAGCCCTGTGGAGCTGGGGCGGTGGCAGGTGACACTCCATCCACACTACAACCTGGCATCCTGGGCTTTCACATGGCCATGTGAGAGCTGCCAGGCCCCTGGCCTTCCGCAAGTACATCCAGCCCATCTGCCTCCTGCTGGCCTCCAGTGGGTCCACGTCTCCTGAGTGCCAGGCTGAGCCACTCTGCTGCTCAGATGGTCCATGATGGGGGTGTGGCAGTGCCTGAAGACAGGCACCCTGCTGGGCTTTATCTTATGGGGGAGCCCCCAGACTGTGAGGAGACTCCAGGCAGGCATTGGGAGCTGTGGCATCAGTTAGGCCCAGGCCAAGAAGGCTGGCATGTTCGTCCACACCATGAGACTGACAGGCTAGGTCTTGGACATCACATCCCTGGGGACCCTCCCCATGTTGCCCCCCTCAGCCATGATGCTGGCCATCCCCTGTTGGCACCTCAAGGCCCTAAGGGCACCAGCAGCAGATCCTCCACCAAAGGAGCCACTAGCCACTAGTCAGGTGGCCATTCCATCCACCACCACTGTGTCTGCTGTACCACCACTTGGGCAGAGGCCACTTGAAGGGGTCCTAGAGATCACCATGCGCACCCAGCTGCCTGGTGCCATGAGAAACGGGGGCACAAGGGAGGGTAGCGTGGACCTATGAGGGCCACCAGAAGAAATTCCACAGCCAGGGCGGCTGAGACATTTGTTCTTCACAACTCTGGAGGCCACGAGTCCAGCACTGAGGCGTTGCAGGGCTGGTTTCTTCTGAGGCCTCTCTGCTTGGTTTACAGATGGCGTCTTCTCCATGTGTCCTCACACAGTTCTCTCAGGCTGGCTTAGAACCCTTGATCCTCCTGTCTCAGCCTCCCAGGATTACAGGTGTGCACAGCTACACTGAGACCAGAACTCCTCTTTTTATAAGGATGCCAGAGCCAGGAATGGTCACATTTTGAGGTCCTGATCCTGGGGCTTTGGGCTTCAACATCCTCCAAATAAATGCCTTATCCTGCCACCTACCTACAGGGAGCTGGATGCGCTGAGCTGTGTGGCAGGGAGGGCAGGCATCTGCATCTCGGGATTCCTGTCATGTAGCTCATTCTTGGTGGTGGGAGCTCAGTCTAGTGACTCAGGGCAGGTGCTCAGGGGAAAAGGAGCCATGGACTGACTGTGCCTGAGTGCTCTTTCCAAGCACAGGCTGGGAGCTACTGTTTGGGTACTCAGGACAGAACCCAGTGCCTTCATACTGAGCTACATGCCTGGCTGTTTTTATTTTGAGACAGGCTTTGGCTAAGTTGCTAAATTTCCTAGGCTAGGCCGGATCTTCCAGGAGTAACCACTACGTGGCTTCCCAGGCCTAGGACAGGAGCAACCGGTCACCCTGTGCACCCAGCGGAGTCTAGACTGGGAGCAGGCAGTAGGGGGCTGCAAGAATGGTGTGCAGTTTCCCTATTTTGTTCCTGTAAACAGCCCCTTGCTATAAGGGGGCTGGCTCAGTACCTCCATGTCACAGCAGTCCTGTCCCTGGCAGTGGGGGAAGTGAGGAAACAAGGCAGGCCCCCAAGGGAGACGTTACTCCTGGCTCTTGGTACAGCGATAGTCTCAGCCCCATTCCCAAGTGTCTCCCCAGCCCACTTTTATCAGTAGGGGGACCGAACCCAGGGCCTTCCCACTGAACTGCATCACCAGCCCCTTTCTGAGATAGGGTCTCAGTAAGTTGCTCAGACTGAACTCAAACTTGAGATGCTCCTTCCTCAGCCTCCCACAGTGCTAGGATGACAAGCTTTGCTCAAGGCTCCCTTCTGTGCTGCCCACACATTCTCTGTGAACCAACAGCCCCCAGACACGAAGAGGTAAATGGATGCCACAGAGAAGGCTGGGGCCCTGTCTGGGCTCCTGCCAAAAGATGAGTGGCACCTCCTTCCAGACCCCCGCCCTCACCAGGGAAAATGCAAGGGGTTTCTTTGGTCCTGGTTCAGCAATTTATTGGTTCACCCTTAGGAGGCCACACCTCTACCCCAACAAGGGCAAAACAAAGGTCCTCAGTTCCGGGCAGGAGGCCAACCTGAGCACATTAGGGGAAGGGCCAGGGACTCCCAGGCCCACAGGAAGTCCACTGAGCTGCCAGGAAAGCACAGGTTCCCCCAACCCAAGCTGCAGTGGTTGGCAAGGAACATGGTCCCAACGGTTCCTTCATAATAGTGTCATTCTTGGATGCCATGGGCAGGCAGAGTGACCATGCTCGTCCTGCCTCACATTTACAGAGATGGGCCCAGCGGTGGGGGTGACGGAGGGTAGTTCCTGGTTACATGTTGGCTCGTTCCCGTTGCAATCGTGAATTATAGGCGCGGGACACGGTGTTCCAGGCGTCCATGTAGCGGTCCATACACATGGCGATGCATTTCTAGGTGCAAGAAAGCAGGGAATGTATGGCTCAGTTTGAACTCTTGAACAGGGTGTCGGAACCACGTGCCCTGGTTTGGGGTTAGAATTGTGCAAACCTCCCAATGGCAGGGTACCTTGAGCTCGCGCAGGCGCAAAAGCTTAACCACTCTAACCAGCGCCCGCGTAGAACCCGCGTCGCGTAGCCTGCGCACGCGCAGATGCATCCCCATGCAGGGTGAGACCCTCTCAACCCCCCCCCAATCCGTACCCACCCCTCGAGAGATCCCACCTGTTCCGAATTGTCCAAGGATCCCCCTGGCTTCCCAATGCACTTCCGGAAACACTTGTCGGTCATCCTCTGTGGACACATGGGAAATCTCGACCGTGATGCCCACTCCCCGGGTTACCCTCTCTGTCTCATCCGCATTCCCGTGCGCTCAGTTACCTGCAGTAGCTCCTGCGCGTTGGCCACGGCAATCTGTACTTTGACCTGCTCCATGATAAGCCCCGGATCCAGTTTCCCACCGCCAGATCCCCCGGAATCCGAGCCAAAGCCACCCTCCATGGCTCCGTTAAGTCAACCCGGCCTCGGCCACGGGCCTCGAACCCACTGCCATCAGAAACTGAGTCTCCCGAAGCACCATGGGAAGTGTAGTCTGGGCTACAACTCCCACAAGGCCGCGCGCGACACACCACAGCTGTGCAGCAAGCCAGGCCTTAGTAGGTACCAAGGGAAACAGAGTCCGTAGTGTAACACCCACAAGGCCGCGCGGGGCTCTTGGCGCATGCGTCACTAGATCTCCGGCTCACTCCTCCGCAGAGAGAAAGCAGCCGGCTCGGCTCTTAGGACGCGCATGCGCACAGGGCACCCAAGAATTTGTCCCTGGTTGGCTGTATCAGGGCAGACACTAGGACAGCCTGCTTGGCCTCCTTAGGCCCCGCCCCCCAGGCCTGCAGTTCAACTCAGACACTGCAGTTAAAATCTGAGTGTATATTAGAGTATTGTACGAAAGTTTCCAGCCCTAAAATATATGTCACGAATCACTAAGGAAGACACATCTGTCTGGAACTTAAAAACCCCAACAGAACTCCAAAAGGAGCCACTCAGCCCAGCGTGGTCGGTGCCCCGTGTGCCTTACAGGCCAGGCGGGGCTCATCCATTCGGGAACGTTCACCTGATTCAGATCCTTAAAGTGTAAAAGGAGCAGTAGCTATGTTGGGGTGGGCTAAAACGACGTACAGAGGCTGGTACAGGGTCAGGACCCGGACATCCTGCAGGCCTGGCCTCAGCGCTGGCTGCTGGCTGTGTGGATCTCTCTCCACGAAGGGCGTTATAAGAAGTAATAAAGCTAAGCACATCTGGGACAGCAGTGCACGTGGTTCCACAGGCCACAGTCCACTTGTACAAACTAACACCCTCAAGTGTCCAGATGCGTGGTTACTAATGACCATCAAACTCCAATCACCAAGGGCTGCCCGGTCGAACCCCATTCCCTCTGCAGCAAGGGCACCAGGGTCCCGGCTGACTCCTGGCAGCACCCAGGACACACATAGGTGGGGGGTAGAGGGCTGGTGGGATGCATGAGGGACTGTCTCTGGCATTTGGGATCCTGCTGCCTGCAGCGGTTCAACAACATACAGCTCCAACTCCAGGGCATTGCCTGAACCCACACGTGGCAAGATGTGTGAGGGCTCCCTAGGTCTGGGGAGTCCTTACCTGAAAGGCCACATGGCAGGCCCCACAGGCTTTCTGTGAAGGTGGGGCAGAGCTTCCACAGCACAGGGCTTCAGGGATCCCAAAGCGGTGACAGGTCAGGGTGGAGACGACAGACCTGATGCCAGGACAGGCCAAGCGCTCCAGGAGCCGAACTGCTAGAGCAGTTCAGCCTGCCTGGGTCTTCTGCGAGGCACTGTCTGGGTAAGACATGAGGATGGGGCAGGGAGCCTGGACAGCAGAGAAGGGGTGACAAAGGACAGACAGTCTGGGGACAGAAAAGCACCACAGAGATCCCCTTCCAAACCCTCACTGGCAGTCTCCTTAAGCATTGTCTAGAAATGTACCCAGGTCTAATGAAGGACAGGGTAGGGACAGTTCGTGTTCACATTGGGTGGCAGCCCCTTGAGGTGGTCCACTGGGCTCCCTCTAAAGCAGGAAGGAGAGGATGGGAGCTGTCAAACCAGTAGAGGCTCAGCTCCCGACACGGCACAGACTCACCACAGCCCCTGTACCCAGACAGAATGTTCCACGCCTTCCTCGTCCTGACCCAACCTGTGAAGAGCTCGGAGGAATTTTACAGTTTGCATTTAATACAGAGTGATTCCTCAACTCCGTCTTCCCCTCAGCCACTGTGTCAGCACCCAGCACCTCCCCCGAAGGTGACATGCCAGCTGACAGGAGTGTGGGAGCTGTGATCAGCTTTCCCAACCTCACCTCCTTGGGTGTAGGGGCTCTACTTTGCCAAACTCAGCCTCCTCCACCTCCTCCTGCCTGCTTAGGCACATGTCACCACTCTCACAGACAGTTCCTGTGCCAGATGAGGGCCACCCACACTCAGGAACACTGTGGGCCCCTGCCACCTGGGAGCAGGCCAGAGCTGCCCACAGGGGCTCCACTGGCCCCCTCTTCACCCAAAGACCCTTGCACCCAGAAGGCAGGTGCTAGAGACACAGGACCTGAGTCCTGAGTCCCCGATGGGCATTAATCAGCACAATATGGAAGCTCTTGCTGGTGCCAGATGCTTGGGCCTTTCACACGTGTGGACGGACACTTGCTGCCCACACCTGGTGACCCAGGAATGTGTGGCCCCCTCCGTTGCCCTGGGCTCCACCTTTTCGGGCTTATCCACAGATGGTGGTTCAAAACCATTCAAGCCTGCAGCCAAGTCCAGCACTGGGGCCTCCCTGCACTGCCCTCTCCCTTCCTCTCCCATCCGCCCTCCTGCTCCCTCCTGCTGACAGTGTGAACTTTTCTGCATCACCCTCAGGTCCTGCATCTGGACCCTCCAGTACCCGAGGACTGACCCTCAGCCTGCTAGGCCCACTGCATGGGGCAGTGAATCTCTTCACCTGAGTCCTTCATGGGTTCAGGATTCCTCACGGGTCTCTTTGCAGGTCTCTTGATTACTTTTGACTCCCTCCTGGGTCTCTGTATTCCTTCTTAGGTTTTAGTTTTCTCATGGGTCATTCATGGTTTTCTCAAAAGATCTTCCTTGCCTGCTAGGACTCTCCACAGATTCTGTCACCAGATCAGGTTCCATTGTGGGCTTCTCTGTAGGTTCCTTTGTGGACCTGGGCTCGCCCATGGGTCTCTTCACAGGTTCTGTAATGACTTCATATCCTTCATGGGTGTGTTCCTGGCTCCCCTGACAGGTCTCCTCCTGGATTCCCTCACAGGTCTCCTGGCTGTTGCCCTGGTGGCCTCCTGGGCTCCCTTGGCAGTGCACCCTCTCCCTCGGCCTCTTGAGAGCCAGGCACAGCTCCATACCTGCACTGGCATCCTTCCAGCTGGGAGCCATCCTGTGTATAATGGGCTGAGGTGGCCCCATGATGGATTCTAATGGGCAGGGTTCAACCAGAGGACCCCATGAGCCCTCTCACAGCCCAATCCCAGAAAGCACAGAGACCTGAAGCTAGACTTGAACCATCCCAACTGTCCCACATGGCGACAGGCCTAGAGACTAGGGTTGTGGGGAGGGACAGTGTTGCTGAAATGGGATAGAGGGGCATCCAGAATGCAGCGGGGAACAGATGGCCTCTCTCTTCCTTCCAGGGAGCCCCCCAAACTGTCCACAGCCTGATCTCTAGAATCATGAGTGAAATTTATTTTGCCAAGTAGGGTGTTTGCAGATGTGAGGATTTTGAGAGGAGATTTGTGGATTAGTCATGTGGACACTAAATCCAATGACAAATGTCCTTAAAGAGATACACAGAAGGGCCAGGGATTTAGCTCAGTGGCACAGTGGCTGCCTGGCAAGTGCAAGGTCATGAGTTTGATTCCCAGTACCAAAAAGCACCAAACAAACAAAAAGAGATACATGGGAGGATTGTGTGGAGGAGACCAGCATGGCAGAGCAGTAAGCAACGGACACTTTCTGAAAGCCGCCATCCAGACACTGGAATACAGCATCGTGAGGAAGACAGGAAGGAGGAAAGTGGGGCCACCAGGCCCAGGAAGACCCTGAAGCCCACAGAGACAGTGAAAAGAAAACCTGCAATGAAAAAGGAGGAATGTGGCACCGCCTTCTCCCTTGGACGAGACTCACTGCGTGAAAGGAGACAGTGACAGCTGCTGACCCCAGAGGCCTCTTCAAAGAGACACAGTGGTGGGGAGCAGCAGGCGTGAGGGGCTGCACTGACTGGCGCTGTTGGTCCTGGTTTTCCATGACTGAGACTGACGATGGGTCTCAGAAAATACTGTAGCACAGGGCCTCAGCCAAACAAGCAACAACTTCTCAACTCCAACAAACTGAAGAGATAAGATCTTCCAACAGACTTGAACTCAAAAACCAGCTACACCTCAAAGATACCTCAGAGAAGCAGTCATTATCTAAAGATCCTAAATATTAGCAATAAAACAATCTACAATAGGCAATTTATGAGCATCACCCCAGGAATTAAACTAGAAAAATACATTAAAAATGAAAAAAGACACTTAAACGAAATGCAGCCCCAGACATCAAGTTCGCCAAAGGCAAACCCAGCGCAGTGAGGCGGGACGATCCGAAGGCCCCACCAGGCCTCTCTGAAGTGGTAACAACAAGGCAATTGAATGAGGCTCTGGGAAAAGTGAAATCAGAATAACCTCTCAAATAACTACAGAGATTACCAAAATACATAGCATGCTCCGTGATATTAGAGCTGACACAGACAAATAGACGAGCTTAAGCAAATTATAAGTGAGCATAGAAAAGAAATAGAGTCCATGCGGCAGATTCAAGCAGAGATCCAGGAGAATAAAGACTCCCCTGAACTGGGAAACTAAGAAATGTAGAGAGAGAGAGAGAGAGAGAGAGAGAAAAAAAAAGACTCCACTGAATGTATTCAAAGCAGATCAGGCCAATGTGAGTACAGGATTTCAGATATTGAAAACAGACTTGCAGTTAGAAATCAGGAAAAATAAAGATTTCTCAGAACTTAGCAAGGGACTATGAGAAATCAGTCCAGCAGCTTGAGACTAAGAATAATTTAAGATTGATTGGAGTCCATGAAAAAGCAGGAGATACCACAAATTATAAAAAAAAAAAGTTCAGACATCATGGCAGAAAACTTTCTTGTTAGAGTAAAAGAATTTGACATACAAATAAGTGAGGCATGGGGCTGGGGATTTAGCTCAGCAGCAAAAGTGCCTGCCTGGCAAGTGCAAGGTTGTGAGTTCAATCCTCAGTACCACACACACACACACACACACACACACACACACACACACGCGCGCGCGCACACACACACACACAAATAAGTGAGGCATATAGAACTCCAATTAGCCATGATCAAAAAAAAAAAAAATCTACAGCCAGGCATATCATAGTCAACATCGCGGAAATTCAGCACAAGAATAGAATCGTAGAAGCTGTTAGAGGAAAAGAAACAAATCACCTCTAAAGGAAAGCCCATCAGAATCACCACAGACTTCTCAGCACAAACTCTCAAGTCAAGGAGAGCTTGGAATGACGTACTCCAGGTTCTGAAGGAAAACAGCTTTCAACCCAGATTGATACATCCCACAAAACTACCTTTCAAAATTGATGAAGTAAGATACTTTTTTTTTTTTTTGTCTTTTTTCATTTTTA